AGTTGAAAGAAAAACCCAGTTTTGCAAGTCAACTAGAGCTACAATTTTTAACACTATTTCGCCTTAAATCACGACAAAAAATAACTCGTTTCTTTTTGATTCAGCTTTAACTACCTGGCTGGACTGGTCTCCAAGGAATACTATTATCTCGACAGTGCCATGGCCTTTATTGTTTTTGATCCTTTACGCACTGCTGAATAAAGAACCTRTCGAGAGAGATTTAAGGAGAGAGGAGTTCTCTATAGCAGAAGAGGAGGATACTACGACTGATAAACAAGATAAAACAGAAATAACAGATACAGTAAAGAATAATTTGACAGCCCCAGGATTGTACGAAGATTCGCACAAACAAAATTATGAACAAATAAGTACATGGGATAAATTRAAAGTTGCTGTGAAAATTATTCCTTTTATTTTCTTTCTTCTTGTTACGTACTTCGCGGAGTACCTCTCCAACCACGCTGTCGTCACCACCCTTGCATTCCCAGAWTCMTCTCTGAGCCCACGTGACCATTACACATACTACATGTTGGCGTATCATTTCGGGAAGTTCATTGGACGATCTCATATCTTTATAATATCATGCTTTACTCCAGGACTTCTCGGTCATGTTTTGGTGCGAAAGACCTGGATAATAGCTGCTATTGCGGTTGGTCATTTTGTATTGTTTTTCCTTATGTCCTGGTATCGTTTCGTCCCACACTTTGAGGTAGTTGTTACCTTATGCATCACTGAGGGCTTCACGGCTGGCTCAATGTATGTGAATTCAGTACACGCAGTGTCGAAAACCATCGAAGAAATCAAGCATAAAGAATTTGCTCTTGGATTGTTAACAGTTGGTGATGCTACTGGGAAGCTTTTGGCAGGCGTTGCAGGGCTTTGGCAAGAACCGTTTCTRAGGCGACATTGTTTAGAGGAACTAGACCTTGGAGTGTACTGTTTTACTCGGCATGTTGATGAAAGTGGTTGGAGGGAATAAATCACTAGTTCAATATAGAATTTAATTTTTAAATAAAAAAAAAACGAAGGTAATTTATGACCGGTTTGTCACAGGTAACCCGGTACAAATATGGTWGCGACTGATATTTAAATGGGTTCTGGTCTGACTAATCAAAAACAAACCAGCCAATCACGTGTTGAAGCCATTGTGCACTCGTTTAATTGCGACAATTTAATTTAATAAAACAATGACAGTCACTTCACTTTATTTGTTTCCAATGTTTTTATTTATCACATACTCTTTAAGGTGCCTGCCTATTAAGAATTAGGTTTCAAMACAACTTATGAAAATTAGTATGTCCACGAAAGTATATATAGATAATTCGTTTTCCTTGCGCGATCTCGTACGCACACATAAGTACGCTATCATGGGAGGGAGGGGTGGTAAAGCATAATGGTTAGAASAGCAGACATAAACAGAATATCTAGCTATTTCTTGGTTTCAAATTTCGATATATTATATATACTATATACAGCTATTTCAAAAAAGGTTGAATACTGAATACTGCATACTGAATAGTGTATTCCTAGACCAAAGGGCATTGTGAGCCTCGTTAATATGAAATAAAAAGTAAATATACAGCAATTAACTCTCTTAATGTAGTAAGTACATAGTTTCAGATGGAATACACTAAAAATAGAATAAATAATTATTATTAATCCTACTTTAGACAATGTTACTATGACCCACAATGCACCTCGGTCTTGGAATGCACTTTTCAGTATGCAGTATTCAGTATTCAACCTTTTTTGAATTAGCTGTATATTATATATATCATATATTTTAGGTGAGTGGTTTCGAAACTAAGTCAACTACTTAAGCAAGACAAGCAGGACTAAAAATTGTAGTAAAAATCGATAAGATAACTACTACAGTACAGACACATTATCTGGGACCACTTTTAACAAGTTATAACCAATCATAATAAGGACTGAAAACAATCAAGCAATCTGGCTTAAGCCAATCACGGACAGGCAACAAAGMCTAGATCTGATTATATATCTACCAAACAACATAGATATCATCATCAACATATTCSATCATGAATGGCTGTGATAATGATTCTGCCCTTTCCTGATTGGCTACATTTTCAATCTATGTCATGATTGGCTACTTTGTTAATGTGGTCCCAGTTAGTGTGCCTATACTGTAGCTAATAATTATATTAATATTTATTTCCTAATCATTCAATTTATTCGGAATTTTAGAGTTCAGTTTCAAAAACGTCATGCATATCAGTTAGTTTATAAATTTCCTTAAGAATGATGGAGAATGTGAGAGACTATGGTGAAAGATATTTAGATAAACCTAACCCGATTCTATGGATCAGAATAACACTCTCCTTTTGTAAAGAGATAATAGTATTGTACTGACCAAGAGTGCTAATTTAGATAGCAAATGCAATCAAGACAAAATTTCGATTCCAATTCCACTTGAGTTGATTATGAAACAATAGCTCAAAGCCAAGGTTCAA